GGCACTCTGGATGGAGGAGACAGCTTGGCCACAGAGACACTTAAGAATGTGCGTGCGGGGCCGGCCCCGTGGCTTAGCGGTTAAGTGCGTGCTCTCCGCTGCCGGCGGCCCGGGTTCGGATCCTGGGTGCGCACCGAGGCACCGCTCCTCCAGCCATGCTGAGGCCGCATCCCACATACAGCAACTAGAAGGATGTGCAGCTATGACAGACAACTATGTACTGGGGCTTTGGGGGAAAAATAAATAAATAAAATCTTTAAAAAAAAAAAAAAGAATGTGCGTGGGATTAGCACCAATAGGCGGAGGGCTGTGTGCAGGGGCAGGGCACTTGGCCCAGAGTCATGTTGGGGGGTTTCAAGGCTTCATAGGAGAGGGTGGTTCTCACCTCCACACCCCAGGGTTAGGACCCATGCCCACAGCTCCTGACTACACTCTGCCTAGTTTGTTGTCTGGGAGGCTCCTCTTTGGTCACAATACAGGGTGTGGAAGAAGAGAGAGGATCCACAGGCAAGCGCTTGTGTCTAGCCTTCCCCCGGCCTGGTCCCCAGAGCTGGTGACCTCTTGGCTGAGGCTGCCCCCACAATCTTGGCGTGCGCCTTCCCTCTCTCCCCTGAGATCTGGCCCCCAGCTTCTCTGGCCACTGAAGCGGCTTAATGAGCCCAGGTCACGTGGGCTGTTCTACTGCCTGTGGGGAGGGCCAAAGCCCCCAGTGGCCGCCCTACCAGGCCCTGACGTCAGTGGCATTAACCGTCCGCCAGGCTTGTCTAATCTCTGGTCGGTGGCTGGGCCAGGTTAGTTCCGCCAGAGTCAGAGCTGAAAGCCGTGAGGGCCCTCAGGGACACCTTGAGGTTGCAGGTCAGGCAGGGATGGTGGTGGCTAGAGGTGCCCACAGTAATGCCCCCTACCTACAACACTAGGGTGTGGCCACTGTGCCAACTCTGGGCCAGGTCTCTCTGATCCTCTGCTCTAGACTGTGTATCAGGCATTGGGCATCCGTTGATCCTGCTCCTTAGGGTGTAATTACACGGGCGTGGTGAGTGGGGCTGAGAAGGCTTCTGGCTGGGAGACTCAGGGGCCCCCCCCATACTTGCTGGCATGGACAGGGCAGCTTGAGGCCAGGCAGCATCCCCAGCCCATGGGACCCAGGAATACTGATCCTGAATCCCAGACCCTGTGGTCAAAACTGTGTGTGGGAGAGGCCTCCTTAGAGGGTGGGGTCCAGCCTCTGCATGGTGTTTGGGCTTCTCTCTGCCTCTTGCAGAGAAAGGGGAGCTCATTACCTTTCTTCCAAGACAAGGTGGCTATGCAGAAGATCACGTTAGCCCATGTCTTCTGACAGATTCCTCCCTCTTGAGCCTACCACCTCCAGCCCCTCAAAGCCTGCTGTCTTCTGCCATGCCTCCCCCATTAAATCCCACTGTCACTCTCCCCTGCCCCACCTCACTCCAGTAAACTGCTCAGGCAGAGGGTCCTTAGTAGAGATGAGCAGCTCCAGCTCAGCCAGGCCCAAGACCACTCAGCCGGGGCTCTGAACCACTGGCCTGAGCCCCATCCTCCCCTCAGGCCTCTGAGCAGCACCAGCGTGGCTGCCCATGTATGTCCTGGGCTCACTAACCCATCCAGTGTCCCCCCCACCGCCCTGTGCTCAGGCCTGGGCACCCTCTTCTCTCCCCTCTCTAGCCCCCCTCAGGCTCACAGCTCCATCCTCCACCTGAACATTGAGGATGCTGCCCACATGCTGCCTTCTGCCCAGCCCCAAGTAGCTATCTGCCTCCTGAACATCTCCCCCAAGTGGCCACAGGTCCAGAAAACTCAGTCCATTTAACACTCTTCTGCAGTCCCAGCTTGGTGGGGGCATGTACTTGGTCAACAGCACACATCCAGACCCTTGTCAGATCCAGACCCCTGTTGCTGAGCCCTTCTTTAAAGATCCTGGCCCCATGGGGTAATGAGGACATAAGTCTCTTCCTCATGGATCTCTCGGCCCCACTCCCCTCCTCCCCACGCCTGCTCACACCTGCCCCCAGGAAAAATATGTGTCCCTATATGCATGTTTTTATGAAAAGTTTTAATGATTATTTTTTCCGGGCCGGCCCCGTGGCTTGGTGGTTAAGTGAGCGCGCTCCACTGCTGGCAACCCGGGTTCGGATCCCGGGCTCGCACCGACGCGCTGCTTCTCTGGCCATGCTGAGGCCGCGTCCCACATACAGCAACTAGAAGGATGTGCAGCTATGACACACAACTATCTACTGGGGCTTTGGGGG